CGCCGCCGCCGCGTCGAGGGCTCTCTGGCCGTGTCGCGAGCGTTGGGCGACTTTGCCTACAAGGAGGCTCCGGGGAGGCCCCCCGAGCTACAGCTTGTTTCTGCGGAGCCTGAGGTGGCCGCACTGGCACGCCAGGCTGAGGACGAGTTCATGCTCCTGGCCTCTGATGGCGTCTGGGACACTATGTCTGCTGCTGCCCTGGCGGGACTGGTGGCTTCGCGCCTCCGCTTGGGTCTGGCCCCAGAGCTTCTCTGCGCGCAGCTGTTGGACACGTGCCTGTGCAAGGTCCTGGGGGCGTGGCGTGGTATCTTTGAGGCTTGGCGCAGCAAAGAGAGAAAGCCTCGGGGTTTTGGGGAGGACGGCTTTGATGCAGAGGCAAAAGTAAAGCTAGAGAAGTAGGGGATGGGGCTCAAGCGAAGGGCGTGGCATGAAGTGGGCAGGGCCAAAATACAGGAGCGGAGCCTGAGGGATGCTTTGAGGCAGGAGGGGAGAGTTAGCGGAAGGGATTTAAGACAAAGGGCTTGGTCTTTTGGAATGGGGCGATTCTGGGTCGTAGGAGCCAGGCCTGAAGTATGATTAGTGCTGGAAGGTGGAAGAGCAGGTAAACATCAGAGCGGGCAGAGCTTTAGGGAAAGGGCATTATTCTCTCAATAGGGAGGGCCTAGGACCGGGTTTGGTCCCAGTAGGAGAGGACTGGCAGGTGAATGGGACGTGAAAGAAAGGGGCATAACCAGAATGAAGTGGGGGACTTGAACTTAGGGATTGTTGGGAAGCTCTGCCTTCGATTCTCCCCCACTGGGCTCCGTTTTCTCCACCGGCTTCAGGGCAGCCTGGACAACATGACCTGCATCCTGGTCTGCTTCCCCGGGGCCCCTAGGCCTTCTGAGGAGGCGATCAGGAGGGAGCTCGCACTGGACGCAGCCCTGGGCCGCAGAATCGCTGGTGAGCAGGCTCCGGGGGCCCAGCTGGAGGGGTGGTCGGCCAGCGAAGGCTCTGCCATAACTTTTTCTTTTTCTTTTCTTTTTTTTTTTTTTTTTTGAGATGGAGTCTTGCTCTGTTGCCCAGGCTGGAGTGCAGAGGCACAATCTTGGCTCACTGCAACCTCCACCTTCCGGGTTCAAGCGATTCTCCTGCCTCAGCCTCC